GTCTACAATTACAATTCGTTTATATTGTGGTAGAAATGTTATATTTAAAGAAGTACTGTTACGATAAAGATACTAATTTGGCTGGAAATGTTTTGCGGGTCTTTGCTTATAATCTTTTTAAGTGCTAACAATGACACTATTAAAATACGCCCAACCAAACAAGTCAAATTCCACCACACGCTCATCCGGAAAAGTTCAGATAATGTTTTTGAGTGCTAGCAATAACACTAAATGCACATCCAACCAAACACGTCAAATTCCACCACACACTCCTCCGGAAAAGTTCAGATAATTTTTTTGAGTGCTAGCAATAACACTAAATGTACATACAATCAAACACGTCAAATTCCACCACACACACTCATGCGGAAAAACTCAGTCCTAAGTAAGCCTTAAAAGCTTATTGGCTGAATAACATGCTAATAATGTGACCATAAATAGAGTGTTAACAATTTGATCAGTAACAGAAGGATTATGTTCGTCCCTCCAGTGGATCAGCGGTAAGTTTACAGACTTACAACGTTAAAATCCGGGTTTCGATTCATCGCATTGGATAAAGGGCAGATAGCCCATTGTATAGCTATGCGCTAAGAAACAAAGGTAGTAGCAGTATAATGTTCATACTGTTCTTCTCAGAACTATATGGTTTTGAAAGCTCGGTATTGAATCTTCCTATCTGCTAAGTATAAGATGTACTGCCGCTAGTAAAAGTTCGTATTTTTTAAGGTGATCTGCCGAAATTCCTTGGCTATTCGACAAAAACACATACACAAAAGAATGAATGAGTAAAAAGTTTTGAAGATTACTAGCTTTTTTGTAACCTCTGTTAATCTATGAAACTTCGATTTTATACATCAGTATCAAAAAGATGTTGCCTATACGTTAGGTTTGTTTGTTTTGAATTTCGCGCAAAGCTACACGAGGGCTATCTGCGCTAGCCGTCCCTAACTTAACAGTGTAAGACTACAGGGAAGGCAGCTAGTCATCACCACCCACCGCCTACTCTTGGGCGAGTCTTTTACCAACGAATAGTGGAATTGACCATTACATTATAACGCTCCCACGGATTGCAAGTCGAGCTCCCTAACTACCTGTCCATGCCGTGCCTCTATACATTAGAAAACCTTGTCTTGAGGAAATTAAAAACATGTACGCACCATAATAATTTTAACAGATAATAGTAACCAACACTTTCACACATGAGATTCAGTAATTTCGAATTCATTCTTTTTTCTTTTTCTTTTGATAATAAGAACAAACTGAAAAATGTTTTAATTAAAATGAGGAAATAAAAATCAAACAATTTGAAGGTATCGTCCGACCAAAGGTAAGCCAACCCTTCCTTTTTTTTCTCCCCACTAAGAAACAGACGGGAATGAAAGCATGAATCAAAACGGACTTCTAAATCTTGGGCTATTACACCCAGTAACAGGCTACTCTCCTGTACCACGCGGTATATTGACTGTCAAAATCCGAAACCCGTTCTGATATACAACTTTCTGTAATCAGTTTCAGTCATCACCTAATGATCGTAACTTTAATATAAAAAAAAAACAACAACAAGGGTTATTGAAACCGCTATTTGCTAATCTATCTAATTTATTTCTTTTCTTGTGTTACATTCTAGTCGAGCTTCTCGTAAAATCTTAAACCTAATAAACTCTTCACGATTGCTTGAGGGCTAGTAAATAATGTTCACGTTTTAAGTATGAAAATCATCGACAACAAGGTTGATTAGACTCAACATCGTTAACTATATGTGCTCTTTTTTTTTACTTCCTTTATATACATGTATATAACCACACTGCACTAAGCGAAAAATTAACTTTTATTTTGTGTGCCTAGTTAATTATCTTTTTGAAAACAATCTAGGTAATTACATTTTAAACACATTTAATCACTGACTGTGCTGACTAACCAGTAAACAACAACAACAACAAACACGACAATTTACAGGTGAAACATCTTTATTTTCCAAGGTGTTTAATATCACAAACGCTCATCTGAGTTATTTAAGCAAAGTAATTTGTCTAATTGGACGTTTTAATCTCTACAGGAACTTACTGACGCCAAAAGGACATATAGAGGTTGAATAGTTTATAGTAAAACAATTTTGGAGCCTCACCACGTCGTTGTAGTCCATGTCACCACGTATGTTCATGTTCTATTTGACGACAGTGCATCTTGCCAGCAGCCCCATAGGACAGCTTCCATTGAAAAATACTCCGTCGTAAGACTATTACATACCCTTCCCCAAATCGATCAATTTTTAGCCGCATAACACAGCCTACGAAATGCCAAACAATGTCAAATTGTACTTTGATACATGCTATTTACAGCAACCTTATATCGGCTATAGTTGACACATGATTTACCGATTTGCATATCCAAAATATTTTTAATGTAACGCACTCAATTTTCTGTATTTTTATTTGTTAACCGAGTTCTGGTAAATAACGATATTCCCATACAGGGTATGCGAGTATATTTTCTTTCTGAAACAAATATGTCTGAATACAGAAAAAAAAAATCTTTAGTGTTCTTACATACGCAATAAAAACATCATATGACATAAACTTTTAAAGTTGTACTTGTAGCTTAGCTTTCTCAGAGTAACACGCTGAACTCCTAACTTCATTAGTGTAAAACCTCAACTTTTTAATCTCTAAAAACAGTTACACTCAACACAAATCACTTTCCACGAGAAAAATTAACATAAAGTTTACATAGGGACATATCTGACCACAAGAGAACGAGTTAAAAATGCCTATATGTATCTATCTTACCACAAAAGAAACAGGATTTAAAAAAATGTCTACACATATCTATCTAACCACAAAAGAAACAGAATTAGAAAATTTATACACATATCTGACCATAAAAGAAACAGAATTTACAAAAATGTTTACACATATCTATCTAACCACAAAAGAAACAGAATTAGAAAATGTATACACATATCTTACCACAAAAGAAACAGGATTTAAAAAAATGTCTACATATATCTATCTAACCACAAAAGAAACAGAATTAGAAAATTTATACACATATCTGACCATGAAAGAAACAGAATTTACAAAAATGTTTACACATATCTATCTAACCACAAAAGAAACATAATTAAAAAATGTATACACATATCTATCTGCCACAAAAAACGGAATTAAAAAATGTCTAGACATATCTATCTGCCACAAAAAAACGGAATTAAAAATGTCTAGTCATATCTATCTAATCACAAATAAACGGAATTAAAAAATGCCTACACATATCACCTGCCACAAAATAAACAGAATAAAACAAATGT